ATGTCTAACGGAAAACTGTTTTCAACCGACTTTAAAAAAGTGTGAAGCCTCTTAATTCGATTGTATTCTTTTTTACGTTTGTTCCCTCATAACTCCGTCATTTATAAACCTATTTGGAAAATTCTTTTTTATCTGAAAGCATATATGTACATTTTTTATTACATTAAACTTACAGAAATATAATCACAATCAGTTTAGTAGTTTAAAATTTAAATTAAAACTGATGTACTATTGACTTCAGTGTTTTTTTTTTGCGAAATAAAATTCTAAAGTATTTTAAGTGGTGTAGATTTTTTTAAGCTAGGTACTTATATTGGCAAAAAAGCTGACGGTACCTGATGGAAAGTGGTAACCGTCTTCTATATATATAAATAGTGCTATAAACATAACAGAGTATACTTTATCGCCCATGAGACCCCTATGCGTTGCCATTTATGAGGGAAAAGACAAATAAAAGTCTCTGCTTGCGATAAAGATAAGTGTTTACGGTGTAGTTGCCTCGGTCAATAAGTAAGAACAACTAGTTTTACCTATTTACATACATTATATACAGAAGGTAGTGACAATGAAAATATGCAAAAAAATAAAATAGAAAAACAGAAATTACAGCCAGTTGTTTAATTTAATATTTACAGACACTGTTATATTATTAACTTATTTAGTTTACACTGCACTATTAACTTATTTGAAGGTCCACTTGATTCGTGACGCGCGAGACCCTTGGTTTAGGATTTTATTGAGCCCGGATGATAAATCCAACTATTAACTAGTTGGGTTTTATAGGCCAGACCGATGAACAGAAACCAGGCCCGTAGCTAGATAGCAATTTGGCTAGCTAAATTACGACTGCCTGATTGAGGGTTTGTATGCGTTTATATAGGCATAATACTGTTAAATTAAATGAAATAAATGATATTGCTATTTAGTAATAATATGTCTACATGTTAGGGTTGTAATAGAGTGATCAAGATAGTAAACATGACAACAAAAATGTATTTAGAAAGGAGCATTGCTGCCGAATAAATATGCAGCGTCTCTTCCAACTTGGCATTGGCAAAATTATTGGAGTCTCGATGTAGTCATAATTTATAAAAAGTCGCTCTCGGGTAAAACCTCTTTCTTTAAGTCTGACTGTGCGGTCAGACTAAAAGAAAGAGGTTTTACCCATTTCTTTTGGACTGGCTGATATATATCTATGTATATAGATATCTATGTACAGTTATGTACTTGATGGAAAAGTAAGTGATGATGTTTACACAAGTGGCTGTTAGATGTATATGTACAGACCCCACAACGGTAAAACTATATGGATACAATCCATTCGTAGAGGTCTAATCTTTCAATATTCTCTACTATATTCTGATAACAGCTTAATATACGGCATACTGAATCTAATAATATACCGCCCTAAAGACCCGGGATGTTGTATAGATAGCTCTACACTCGGGGCTGTCTTGCCCATTTCCTTCACCGCTATCTGCGGACCCGTCATTTGCGTAGATAAACTTTAGAATCTTCAATATAGACGAGCGAAACTCTATTTTACATTAAACTAGCTGTAACCCCTGTCTTTACACGCGTATATTAGCATAAACAATGTCCTGTTCGTTTATTCGGTAATGAAAAAAATGACTATTCAAAAACGCTTATAATCTATGTTTGCTTGAATAATAATATTTCTTTTTTTATTAAGTGAATCCAAAATATGATCTGGCAGTGTGCCACAATAGAGAGAATTCACGTTCTATCTTAGCATGATACATTATTTTATAGTGTCATCAGGTCAACACTGTCACAATAATACTCATGACTTTGGACCACTCCTTCCTTTCCCGTGGGTGTCGTAAGAAGCGACTAAGGGAACTTAATAGTCATAGGTTGAGCACCAGCGTCCCTTTTAAACCCTCGTCAAAGCCTAACTGCCGTTACAACTCGTCTACCAAGCGTGGCAATTACTGGCAAAACCCCTCAACAACGGAAGGCCTATGTTCAGCAGTGGACAGTTAACGGCTGGTATGATGACGATGATTACTCCTAATGAGGTAGTTAGAGGCATTTGTCGATAATTATAGTTGTGGTGAATATAGCACTCGATATCCTCACATTTCACATAAGGATATTTGTCCTCACGGGGGTCCCATATTGTAGCATTATATTCTAGTTTGCTACGGTCATTTTTTATACAACTTTGAATGGCAAACAAGCTAACAGCCTACCTGATGGAAAGTGGTAACCGTCGCCTATAGACATGAGCAGTACCATGGACATAATAGAGTATGCTGTTTCGCCCATGATACCCCCATGCGTTGCCATGCCTGAGGACTCAGGTGTTATTCCTCTGTACCCTGTAAATTCACGCCATATCCCACCCTTCAAACCGAAACACAGCCATGGAAACACAACTGCTTCACAGTTGAAACACGAATTGGACAGAGGTACTCAAGCAATCAACTTTTGTACAAAGTCTCCCTCTATCATACGCGTTATATAACACTTTTGCCACTGATGTACCATCGATATACGATGCAGTTCGAATTAAGAAATTTAATTTGTTAGTTGTTTTACGGGTTTCCGTCACATGTTCATGGAATTATAGCTTATCGTCTAAAAGAACCCTGAGGTCACGAATTTTGCTTTTTCTAATGGATTTCGCCCAACTTATAATTAGTCTCGAACTTTCTGCGCGAGAAGGTTATTGTCTTACACTCATTTCAATTACATCATCATCATCATCATGCCAGCTTTTAACTGTCTACTGTTGAACATAAGCCTTCCCCTTGGGGGGTTTTGCCTTTTTTGGCTTTAGAGATGTTTTAAAGAGGGACGCTGCCACCCATCCCTTGCCCTCCCTTAGTCAACTCTTATGACACCCACGGGATAGGAAGGGATGGCCTATTCTATGCTGGGACCACACGGCCAGTATTTGTATATATGCATATTGTATTTGTATTTTAAGGGAAGATTATTGTTTTTGCTCCACTTATAGACAGCATTTATATCCTCTTGTAATGATTTTGGAATATGTAACATATTAGAATTCAACGTGGCAGGGGGCAAACCTATCGCCATATCTTGATTTAATAAAACTGATCGTCTCCCTGCCATTTTCCTATATCTATTTGGGGTCGGCGTAATATATTTTCCTTTTCCATTCATAACTGTTTGCAATCGCCTCAGTATTCACCCCCTTCTGGTCATATCATCTTTCACACAGTCCGCCCATTTTTTTTTAGATCTCCCTATATCTTTATGATTGTCTACGTTTATATTTAATACTTTTTTTACTATATTCTCTTCATTTAAGTAAAATGTATAATAACGGACAAATTGTTAAGTTTTTTTACGTCACTTAATAGCTTAAGAGTAGACAAAAAGAAAATTAGTAATGTATTTTGGTTCTAACAGTCAAATTTTTGATACTTTGGGTTATATTTTAATATAATAAATACCGGTTTAACTTACGTGTAAATCGAGAAAGCTCAAGTATATACTAGTTTCGGGATCATTTCGTGATCTTTAATCATGAGCGGCTGTGACCTAATAATGAGGTTAACTATGCGCCTCTACTGTTTTTATTTCCTCGTATTACTACAGACAACAAAGATTATTAAACAAGCTAACATTTTCCCTGATGAGAAACGGTAACAGTTATCTATAGATATGAACTGTACACCATCAACGTCGCATTGATGTGTAGTACCACGTATACGTTACTTTTCCTTGTATCTAAGACGCTATGCCTCTATGTCTTCTTATTTCACTGCCATAAATGTATATAAATAAAAATGAAACTCTAAATGTATAGTTGCATGTAGGTGCAAAACTCGAGAACGGCTGCCTTTTTTTTTCAATATTCGTTAAAGTCCAAGGAAAGTTTGTACAAAGAGAAAAACTTCTCGATAAAATTTGGACATATCTAACTTTTTCCATACAAATCGTTCCTATTCAAACATTACAAACAAATGTAAATATTTGTTATACCATCTTTTGATAGAACGATATCTGTAGGATCAAATAATACATATATTAATAAAAATAATCTATAATATTATAAAAAAGCGGAAGGGTTTGTTTGTTGGAATTCTGAAACAACTCAGATGATATTTTTTGCCTTAAATATCTCATTTACTGAGCAAGAGGCTATTCAACATTACGATACGACTTCGAGCAAAACCGCGGGATACAGACATTATCTATAAAATACCAATTTATCAAAGTTCCAAATAGTTTGAACGAAAGCACACATGGGAATGCTGAGGTTTTACAATTTTCCCGCGTATTCAGTTCACAGTAGCAAAAGTTTGCGTGCCTTTTGAGAGTATCAAAGTTTCGATTACATCCAGTCCCCGAGGTAGGACAAGTATTTGAATACCCGAGTGAAACATATTTGTTTGGGTCCGAAATTCTTTGGATACGTGCGGTCATCTTATATACAAAGTTAAGTAACAAATCATTTACACTTAGAACTGAATAAAATATTAATATATTTTATTTGTAACCTATAACATATCAGCTGTTTACTGTAGAACATAGGTCTCCCTCTATTGGGGGGGGGGGGGGGTTTTCCAGCAGTTACCACGCTTAACCACCGTGGTTAGGCTTTGGTGATGTTTTAAGTGGGATGATACGTCCCATTAAATTCCCTTACTTTCCTCTTCGATACCTATGGAAAAAGATATAGATGGCTCATTCTATGCCGAGACCACACAGCGAATTTTACTTGTTAAGTAAATAATAAATCAATTAGGAATAAAGTGAATAAACAAATACATACATGAACCCTGTAAACATAACTCTTCTCTTTTTAGGCGAAAAGTTCCTCCTTGGTTCTCATGCTTGCAATAACGAAAACTTCCTACCAACATATAGTCTACCGAGATTGTAGTTATATATTTTATCCAACACTACTATTTTCTCTAAGCAACTCTTATATATGACTTTTTTTAACGAATTAATGTAATGAATAAATTAATTTATGATCCAAATATTTTGCTCGACAGTGCTTCGGCGAGCATTCAGCATGTTCGACTCGAGCAAACAGGGGCGGATTGAAAAAGAAAAGGTGCGGACCATACTCAACACTATGGTGCACAGCTTCGACGACCGCGAGCTCGACAACATGCTCGACAACGAAGATGTCGATGGTAGGTTTTTTTATTTTCTAAATAATAAAGATAGAAATCGAGCAACCCACCATTAAGCGATCATCATAAAAGAAATTTTATTGTTAAAAGATTTGTAAGCACACATTATACTTTAATGTATTTACTACCGGTTTAACTTATTTTTTTTATGCAATTTAGAGTGGCAAACAAGCTGACGACCCACCTGATGGAAAGTGGTGGCCGTCGCCATATAATTACTTACGTGTAATTAGATCGAAAAAGCCAAGGACGAGGGGCGCAGTCAGGCTCACGCTCGCGTCACAATCGCTCATGACTAAGAATGACGATTTATTCCAAAACTAGTCGAGCTTTTTCGATTTAATTACACGTAAGTCTAACCGGTAGTTATTAAATTAAAATAAAATAAATTACTATATGAAAATGCGTTAGTTCATTGAATAAAAATTATTCGTAAATGGCTATCGTAGCTTGAAAAGCCTCACTTGTGCGTTGTCAACATTGTGACATAAAGATGTTTAATTACTGTACAGTGATCATAATAATTTGTCACAGATTGTTGGATAATTATTTCAGTTTATTTATAGCTTATCTCTTTACTAACCTATTCATATTACGAGTAGTCAGTAGGTATATGGTTTAAGAGACAAACTAAAGTTAAACATTGTCTTACTACCTACCAGAGGGAGACTTTGTACAAAAGTCGATTGCTTGTGTACCTCTGTCCCATTCGTGTTTCTACCGTGAAGCAGTTGTGTTTGCATGGCTATGTTTCGGTTTGAAGGGTGAGATATGGCGTGAATTTACTGGGTACAGAGGAATAACACCTGAGTCCTCAGGAATGGCAACGCATGGGGGGTATCGTGGGCGAAACAGTATACTCTGTTATGTCCATGGTACTGCTTATGTCTATAGGCGACGGTTACCACTTTCCATCAGGTGGGCGGTCAGCTTGTTTGCCATTCTAAGTAGTACAAAAAAAAATCACTAAAGTTCCTTTCAAACGTATTCAAACGAGTTATATCACTTTTTTACGGATTGGGTTAAAAAATCGTAAAATACAAAACAAACCACGTTTATAGTTTTAAAAATCTCTGGAAATAGTCAAAGAACGGTGGACGGCAATAAAACAAGATGAGAGCAAACAAACATACAGAAATAAACCCGCCTTAATCTTGGTCGTGGAGCGTATTTACTTAGGTTTATGGGCGCGACGAGGACGGTTCACGGTGAAATAGTACTATGTTACGGTAGTAACTCTTTACCAAGCTTCCGTAACAGTTTAGAGACGTACATACACTGTAAGACTGGTAAATTTTATGGTAGTTTTTATATTAAAAATATATGCATAGGATTAAATGACAAAGGCTCTCCTGCAAAACAGTTTATAGTGGCCATATTAATGGAAGACTATTATCAGGTAGCCAATATCAATCTAGACATGGTAACATGTGCTACATTTCATTCGTTATCATTTAGAGAAATATTTTGTATTTTCACAGTTTTGATAGTAAGAAAAATATATGTACTTCGTCTTAGATTAAAAAAAAACATAAATCTCTAACATATGATCCTGAAAAGAATAAAAATGGAAGAAAACATAAAGTAGTTAATACAGTCACAGTTAAAACTACATATGTAAAAAGACAATATACAAGTCAATTATTAGAAATAAAAAATAATTAAATTAAGGAACTGGGAACGTATCCACTCAATTATCATACATTCAATATACTTATATACTCTGTTATGTCCACGGTACTGCTCATGTCTATAGGCGACGGTTACCACTTTCCATCTGGTGGGCCGTCAGCTTGTTTGCCATTCTAAAGTTGCATAAAAAAAAACACAAACAATATCATTATGTATAACCATACCACACACAGGAACACACGATCCTACTCATACTCACACACACAGGCACCCACACACGCAAACACACAATTGTGAAAAATCATAAATAATGGTTACTACTCACAACGACCTAATATTACATGTGCTGTTTGGTATTAAAAATAAAGTACGAATTATTACTTTTATGATCAATGCACTAAAGCCTCTGTTCGTTCACTTTTTACAGCTCAACCAGCTGTCTATCGATTTAATTTCACTATTAATATCTTCGATTTTTATTTAATGCTACATTGTAGCAGTTTTTCAACCTATTTTAAAAAGAAGAAGGTTTTAAATTCGATTGTATTTTTTTATGTATGTAAACCGATTTGGAAAAAATATTGTTATTATTTAAAAAGATATACTTACGGATTAGTCCTGATATTCTTACAGATTCATATACAAATTTTATCAAATGTAAACTACATTTGATAAAATTTCTATATGAAGTTTTTAAATAAAAATAACTGGTTTAGTCGCAAATTACGTGATGTAACAGAAGTAATGTATGATAGATAGATAGATAGATAGATAGATACTCTTTATTGTTTCCTCCAAAAGATTACAATAGTAAACTTATTATAAATATAAATAATTACAAGAAATAATCACAATGAGAAAACAATGGGCGACCTTATCGCTAAGAGCGATCTCTTCCAGGCAACCTTTGGATGGAGAGGAGTAATTATAAACAGTTTGGTGGGAGGCATGATGAAAAATTTTGTTAGTTCTAAATATGGGAGATGTGATACATATAATAATATAAATATTATCCCTACTCATTATTATATTTATATACATACACCTACACACACATATACATATATATACATACACATACACATACATACATACATACATACATACATACATACATATATACATATATATACATACACATACATACATATATATACATATACACACCATACACATACAAATACATATACATACATGGACATAAACGCCTACACAAATACATAAAAATATATAAATACTGTTCACGAAAAGTATGTAATAAGTATGCTAACCAGACATATAAACACATTAAGAAGATGACAACTTGCTCAAATAATAGTTCTTCAGTTTTGCCTTAAAACCAGCCGTACATTTTATATTTCGTATGATTTTGTGTGTGAAACGTGTAAATGTGTTCTTTTTATTAAATACTAGCGACCCGCCCCGGTTTCGCATGCCCCGGGTACAATTTCAATTTTTTTTTAATTTATCCTAAGTACGATAAAATTATTAGTGTTTTTCTACTGTATTATGCATGTACTCGTATTATACATATAAACCTTCCTCTTGAATCACTCTATCTAATAAAAAAAAACCCCATCAAAATCCGTTGCGTAGTTTAAAAATCTAAGTATACATAGGGACAGACAGACGGGAAGCGACTTTGTTTCATAATATGTAGTAATACCAAACCAATAATACTCCTTCAATACGTCATCTTTTTTTAAAAATCTATAAAATCATTTAAATGACATATTGTGCCAATAATTATATATAGGTAGGTGCCAATAATTATATATTAAAAAATCAATACCCTCCTTTCTTCAGAAGTCGGATAAAAATAATTAAGAGGGCGCATGCCGCATCCCTTGTAAATAGCGACATTTGTATTATCTGTCAAGTGTCTGAATTGCGGGTAAATTATTCCAGATCTACTCGGAAAGTGTGTGTCCCTAAAACAAGATTGTACTATAGTTAAAAAAAAATTGCAGAAAAAGAAGTTATATGATGACCAATAACGGTTTTTTTTATAACGAGTGCACTATATCACCACCCCATCAAAGCTTTTGTTGGGGCTGTGACCAATCGTTAACAAATTCAAATCATTTTTATTCAAATACACTTGTTTACAAGCACTTTTAAATCATCACGTTTTTTAATCTACTGCAGGGTTCAGGACGATGTTATCTGTTGAGAAGAACCCGTAAGAAACTCAACAGTTATGTACTCTTTTAAATCTCTGTTAACACATATATAAGTTCACATTACATTTATTTAAATGTACTGCGTCTAAAATTAGATGGTAAAAATAGATTGACCTTAGATAGACCTATCAGAAGTTCTGTGTCCTTCCATATTAGCTATCAATCTCCGACTGTCATTTGGTTCACGAACGTTTTGCAATACGTGTTACATCTTTAAACGAGGCTTTTTCAAGCAAACTATTATATCAAATTATTGACAGTCACACACGTGCTAATGATAGCGGAATGAAACAAAATAATTCTGATCTAATAACCAGTTATGTTTATATAAGATAACACCTAGTTCAGTGAGACATAAGAAATGTGTTATTTTTTACTTGCTATTAATTTTATTAATAACTCTGTATTTACAACTTAAGGTATCTACAAAACACCCTGTATATGCAGTATCGATGAAATATTAATGCGTTCATGACTGAAGTATACATAGCTGTGTAGGTTTCGGCATAGAATAGGCCGCCCTTTCCTTTCCCTGGGCGTCGTAAGAGGCGACTAAGGGAGCTTATGGTGAAAGGATGGGCAGCAGTGTCCCTTTTAAAAGATCACCAAAAGCCAAATTATGGTTGCCAACCTGCCTGCCAAGCGTGGCAACTACTGGTAATAACCCCCCTTATCGGAGATGCTATAATAAGCAGTGGACAGTTAATGACTGATACAACATATAGATAGAAGAGGAAGGGATTTGTTAGTAATACAGACTACCAGTCCCATTACTAGCAATAAGCCCTGTCAGGTCGACCTCCACGTGGTCCCCCCCGGAAACCATCGTGCTGAATTCTACGTGTATTCATCACGGTGGGCTAACTGGTCTGCCTTTGTTTTGTTAATAATAACAATAAGTAGCCCAATTGCTAGCAATACACCCAAAATTAATTTATCAGGATGTACTAACTGACCTGCCTTTTCGTTCTCGCCTATCATCCCTCACTGGTGCCCCGCCAGCGTATAACATTGGCACAGACGGGACTACGAGTATTATTCGCCATTATTAACCATTAAAGAAAATAAGACAAGATAAAGATATATTTATTTAATAAAGTATGTTTAATTAAGCACAGAATTTATCATTGATTCCTACACTAGGTTGAGCCTGTCCTGTAGGAAACAGGATTCGTATTATCATATACGA